TTTGACATGCGCATCACATGCCACAGAGCCAAGATGCTGGGCCGGCGCTGGAGGCCACGGACTTGATGTAGGCACCTGGTGGCTCAGTTTTTTCCGGCTACTTGGCAAGGTTCAAAAACTCAATTTTCGGGTATATGGAACCTCAGGCTTTCCTTTCTCCACATGGATTTGAGGAACTGCTTCGGGACCATGCGCCTCCTCGCTCCTTCCGCAGGAAGCAAAGCTTCCCGTGGCGTCCAGCTTGAAGTCAAAGATCTGCAAAATCATGCATGGCTTGCAGGTGCAAAGTGCAAATATCTTCTGGTATAGCTACAAGGACAAATTTTCAGGGTTTGGGCACAGGTTGATGTTTTCTCAACGCAACGTATGTTTCGGACAGACATGGTCTGTTGCAAAAACAGATTGGACGCGCTTGAAGGCACTCGGGATGTATCGTGGCGTACTTTAGTTTGGGATTGTCTGGAAATGCCTGTCAGGAATGCCATGGCCTTTGGTTCTGTAAATGTGCACCGCCAAACAGCATACTTACATCATACCGTGGAAGCCAAAACAAATGAAATAGGGTTTGAGGTGGATGCACTATACAGTTGTAAAACGATTCTAAGGGAACGACCTTGCAAGATATTTGTAGTAGCTTCACCCCTGTGATATTAAACCCGCCAAAAACTTGCCAAATACAGGTTGCCCAGAACGCTAAACTCTAAAATCTGCCCCCGAGACTATGCCAGGACTAAAGTTACTTATGGCTCGGATCCTCTGAATAAGGGAGGTCCCTATCATGACTCTTAATAAGGAATTCCTTTTTACAAAGGAGTTTATTGAAACCTCGGGATGCGAATTCAATGGTTCTATCGCAAGTTTACACCGTTTTAAATTAGATGCCAATGGCAACTGATTCTAGTCAAATTCTAATTTAATTCTGGTTGGTTGGTAAAAATATGTTAAACAAATATTTCCTGACTGGCCTGAAATTGATGCTGAAACTGTTCTATTTGAACTTTGATTATGTTTCAGTTGCTTTTTCCATTTGGCTCTAACTGAACTTATTGCGATCTTATTTCGATTCTATTTCGGTTTCAAGTTTCAATCAGAATCAATCGATTGTTATTCAGTTTCAACTGAATTTCAAAGGGATCCTATCATCCATCCTCCCTAATGTTCGGGTCATACGATGCCTTACCGCCCTTTGAAATTAAACACGTGTCGGAGTCTATACTTCTGCGGTGGGCAGCAGGGGCCCTTGAACATCAGGGGGAAGGATTAACTATCCAGGCTTCAAATCTGTCAAAATTGGGCGCCTCCACAAACGAAGAGCTTCGTGCAACCCGTTCTTGCTGGATCCTTTGCTGCAGGTGTAGCTTCCAAAGACCCTCCTACTACCTTCTGAGCTCTGTTCAAGTTAAGTAAGAACTCAGTCGATATGTTCAGAGAGCTTGCAGTCAGAGAAAGCATTGCAGGCGTGACTTTCGCCCGCCAATCCGAGGCTCAGACAATCCCGTTAATTAACGCAAATGCTCAAGAGCAGTCGGGAACAAACAGCAAAACATCAAGCTCACGGGCCGGGTGTATTGATGCTCATGTTTGCGTCGTGCGCACCTCTTATAGTTGTTCTGACTATTGCATCCTTGCACACAATTTGTGAATGCGCTGTAGCGTTCAGGTTACGTAGACGTTTAGAATATCTTAGAACAAACTTCGGAACCCTCCAAAGCTTTTGATTGTGCATAGCACTGCGCCTCACACACTGTGATTGGAAATGCTCATTTGAGCTACTAAACCCCTAGTATCCCCCTTAATAAACCCTACAATACTGCAACATCACATAAAATTCATCCTTTTATAACCCTTCAAGGAGTTTAAACTTTAGCTCATTCGTTGAAGAGGGTTTCTACCTGACATACAAGTCCTGCAGTCCCGAAACTTATACCCAAACATCCGCAAACACAAAACATGGTAACATGGTAGTTTCCCTACCCAAACATAGATCCGAACATTTCTAGTCCGTATTATAGGGACCCGAAAAAAGGTACCTCTAATTTTGGGAAACCCCCCACATGTACGCATACTCTCACAAAACCCAGCAGTGAAGCCATCTGAATCTGTATCGGGCTGCGCAACATGCGAAGCGCCTAAGTTCGATTGAAAGCCGCAGCCTCTAAAGCCCAGTCTCTGGAATCCAGCTGCTGCGGCCAAGCATCTCTCTGCGCATGTCGTCCAAGGTTCGTCCATGGCTTCCCCCAACATTTTTCTTTACTGAAAGGTTCTCTTGGTCAATGATGTCCCGCAACTCGCTCCATCCAAGGCTGGCCAAGTCATTGCCAGGTGCTGCTGGTCTGCAAGTTCCTTGGTCTCTTTGCCCCCCTCACGGAAAGAAACACCCGTGGAAAACAATGAGCCCTTAATGTAGCAGGTCAGCCAAACTGGACCCAGATTCCAGCTGACGACGTGACATCAGCAGAAGATACATCTGCAGATGCACAAGCGAGACGCTCGGTCCGCTGTGTCCTTTGCACCGATTACAGAAACATCTTCTGAACGCGCTGGAGTCTTACTCTCCCCCAAGGGTCCAAGGACCCATACATTAGGGTTTTAGGGCCCAAATACCATTAATATTATAGTATTTGGGCCCTGAAACCGTATTATTTGGGTCCTTGGACCCTTAGGGCTCTTTTGCCCCGTAGCACACCTGAACTACAACATTTCCAGGTTTTCGAGCCCTGGCTTGGTGTTTTTGCTAGTTTTGCTTGATTGACCTATCAAGAATATGCTGAGGTGATCAATGAACGTAAGAGAATTTCTGAAGATTTGGGGTGTCCAACCACAGGCTATGCGAGAACAGCCATCCAATGCACACGCAGAACCCTAAAACTTCTGAATTCTATAGATACATATATATATACATATTAAATTTATACATACACATATAGATATATTAATAAATAGCTAGCTAGCTCTCTCTCTCTCTCTCTTTGGGTTAGTCCCTCGGCACCAAAAACCACCAAAGTGTGTACTTTTGATCAACTTTGAAACCCTAAGTTTTCTCATTCGACTCAATTACCTGGACCCCCAAAGTCAGTAGAATAATGGCCCAAACCCCCTAAATATAGCCAAGCAGAGCCAGTATTCCACATACTGTTGGGGTTCAGGCACATCCTAAACCCTGAAAAGCCTTTTATAATCCCCATATAGTCCGTCTATGTTTATACCCCTACATACTTTCGTGGTTCAGGCAGAGCCCGTAAGCAATCCCACCCTAAACCCTAAACCCACCATTCTGCCAGGACTGGTCAAGCTTCGGAGCAGTAGCGCTGCTGAGCTTCAGACAACCTCTTGAAAGGGTTTAGGGTTTAGGGGTTTAGTGTTTAGGGTTTACAAGTTGCTCTGGCAATGGACAGTAATCTAGCAATATAAGAATGAAGTAATATAGTAATATTTATAGTAATATAGTAATATAGTGATGTAGTAAGGAAGTTATGTAGTAATGTAGTAACATAATGGTGTAGTACGACAGTGAGGTAGTAACTTAGCAATATAGGAGTGTAGTAATGTAGTAGTATAGCATAGTAGTCGTGTTCTAATTAGGGTCTTGACTTCGTTGCTTCTTACTACGCTGCTGCGAGGTAAATGATGCTGCGGCCGTACACCTGAAAAGAACAAACATGAGTTATAGTCTAAACTTCTTACAGGAGGGTTATGTAGGGGATTGATTATATAGGGGACAATTATAGGGCTTATCTAGTTTAGACTATAGCTCACACGAGGGAGGCTGGCTGAGGCTAGCACGCTCATGACAATGCATTATGCGCAGAATTAGGAGTATGTTTAAAGGGGTTATAGGGGACATATAGGGCTTAGAGAGGGATACACAAGGTATATAATGTTTAGGGATTAGGTTTAGGAGGGGGTCCCAAAATTGGAGGCCTTGTTGGGGGTCCCCATGAAGAGGATTATGGTATATTAGGGTCTATATTGGGGTCCTCTTGACTTTCGGAAGCTACCATATAATCCCTATATAACCCTATATACAGTAGTAATAGTAGCTTCCATTTCATTTTCTATTTGATTCTCTATTACTCCTATGTAACCACAGATTTGGGAAACTACCGAAATTGGCCCCAGCCATACCACAGTTTCGGGCCGGGAGGCTGTGCGACTTGCCCCCGCGACAGCTACATCCATCCTGCCGCTTTCCATGCGCCCCGCAGCAACCACAGCGGCCCATGGTAAACGGGTTTAGGGCTTAGGGGTGTGGCAGAAAAGCCATGCAAGGTTTGAAGTCACCAAATCAAATTTGGTGCGATCTGGGCATGAAAGCTCCTTCGTGTGAGCAGATGTGGGAGTTTCTCGAAGTGGGGACTCTACGGACGTGGTATAGATACCTAATTACATATGGCATTATTCTGAAAAACTCTCATGTGGGGCCTTGCGCCGGCGGATTCAGTGCAAAGTCAGCACAGCCGAACGTACTTCATCTGGGTGGTGTTTGCATCCAGCCATGATGCTCTCACATCATCAGAACAAGGCCAACAGCCTCAAGGCATCAGGTGACCGGTCCCTTTTACGAGCAGCCAGTGGGCCAGGAAAGCAGTACATTTCGGCGTTTCGGTGTCATTTCCTTGCGCGTGTGTAGGAAGACAATCCAGGAGGCAATCGCAGCCAGGCTTTCACACGCCTTACACTCTTCATATAGGGACCTAAATCACAAGAACAGGATACTTTGTACAGCAACTCACGGATTATACAGTAATGATTTTTGCAAGTATTTAGGCCCCCACATTACAGAACCCCTTGTAGGTCCAGCTTTCGGCTGTGCCTGAGGATCCTGCAGAATCATTTGCGTTCGGGAACAAGACTGGTGCAGCTGCTCAAGAAACAAGGGCTACTGTACAGTCGTCTCGTAAATGTAAAGATCCCTGAAATCCGGCTAGCCTTCCAAAAGGCAAGACTCAAGGACACTCACAAGACTGAAGCTTGGCAGCTCGGCTGCTATAGCCTGGCCCTTACCTGCAGCTGTTATGTCCATTCGTGAGATCAAAATTGCAGCACAAAATGGTCACAGCTGCCCCTGCGCAGTGACTGCAGTCCATGCCGGCCCAAGTAGGACCCATGGGACACAGCGGGTTCCATGGGTTTTTCGCATTCCCAGTAGCTAGCAAGGCCACAGCGACGTAGATTGAACACGCGCCATTGGTATCGCAAACAAGGGAGCCGCTGAACCCTGAACCTGCCCACCAGACCTCACTCGTGGATCCAACGGAGAACCCCATATCGAGTGAGATCCAGCCAGAGGGTCTCCTTCCCCCAAGGATATCCTTCAAGAAGTTCGTACTGCCTGCGCTGAGCCCGACGCTCCCGGCCGTGCTGGTACTGAAAGCTCCTGAGTTGTGGCCAAGTTGGTGAAGGACGGGCCTGTGGGGCAGTGTCTACACTAATTCCATCCACCTAATGTGACACATCCCCCACCCCCCCTTAATGCTAGATATTCCCCATTGTGGTATATTATAATATATCTGGATATATCGGGCGTTTTGGATATTAGGGGGAGTGGGGGGATTTAATATTAGGGGGGTAAACACACTTGCATGTTTGAGGCAAGGAGCTGGTGTAGCCTGTGGCGGCAAATTTTCCGAAGTCGCCGATGCATGAAAGTAGCGATCCGATGGCTTTCGCGACCCTTTGCACGACCTCTGCATAACTGCTTGCGACGCTAGGCCACTAGGCAGGAGGAAACACCCGTCATGCCCTCCGACTGTCCCCCCTCCAACATACAACAAGGAGCAGCCACAATCGCCTTCCAGAACCGGCGGCGACGGCGACGACGGGCCCACTGGGCATTGCCTGTCACACCTGGAAAATGTGTCCATCAAGCCTGTTAGCTGTATATAGCATCAAGCGCAGCTGACCTGAAATCCGGAGACCCTCAATGGCCCTTACAGGCTAGTCACTAATCAATCTGGGTGTGAAATTCTGAAACCTGGTGCGAAACATTGCTGAACATGTCGTGCACCTTGGTAGAGAAAGACGAAAGTACTGGGAACTTCACCCAGCCTTCCTCGGCTCCCGCGTCAAGAGCTCCTTCGACTTCAAGAACTGATATCTGCTTCGTTCCATTATGTCCATGATCGACTGATGCCAAATGCATCGACCTTTGGATCTTCCTCCCTCACGCACAAGGCCGGCAGGGGCAAGTCCACTGCAGCCTAGTGACGATTCATGCTGCAATTCTTGCTCGGCCTCTTTCAGCTTCTGCCTGTCAACCAAGCGTTCCGTCCTGGACTCGGGGAGAGAGTTGACGATCTCCATGGCGAGTGAATTCAAAGCCTCTCATCAGTGCGCTAAGCATTGGCTCGATCGTCTGTGAACATTAGGAAAACTTGCGCAAAAGTCGGTCTATGCTCAACCATTCAAGCAAGTTCAAAGCCTCTTTGTTTCTGCGATGGTAGGCCACGGCCACATCCCAGGAATATGTCTGCTCCTCAGACCCCAAAAACCAAACAAACACTGCTTGCTCTCTGTGAAAGTTGTTTGTCTCTCCCACGCAAAAGCAACAATACATACTTGCGGACCCAGGCTCTTGGTTCATGCGAGCATACTTCTCAATGAAACTGAAGTCTCGATGATTATCCTGGGATGCGCTTCAGGATCAACTTAAGTTCGCAAAAGCCGGGGCTTTTCTACATTGCCAGACCAGACGCTTGTGACACGGATGGCAACCATAAGGCTCGCGAAATCTCCCGATTCATACAGACGAGTTGGATGTCTGCAATATTCCGGCTAAGGTAACTGAAGTGAACCAACGGATAGCGGCCGGCCTTTCTAGGTTTTTCGCGAGGCTTGTCCCTCCAACCCTGGCAAAACAAGCCCAGCATCGGCAATGAACCTGGCACCAGGGACGACATCGACAACACGCTGGTGAAAAGGCTCTGGTTTAGAGCTACCACTCCTTGTTCCTCCTTTATCTAACACAAGGAATCCCTAAAAATCCAAAACAAACCATATATCATCCTTCTGTCAACCCCAAATATGATTTCAGATCATTCTCGGGGTCTAGGATGTCTGCCTGAACCCTCCCCGGCCCCCGCAAAGGAGAAGCCTCTGCACCCGGTGCTGCAGCTGGAAGCCTGAGACGTCGTCGAGGTGAGGGTTGAGGGTTTACTGGGTTGCTGTTAAGGTACTTAGTTCAAGTTACCATATGGGCGAAACCATGCGAAATCTTATCACTGACTATATATACCCATCATAATATCTTACTTTAAGTTCCTTGACAGCAATCCAGGTTGAGGGTTCAGAGTGCAGGATGCTAGATTCGAACACCCCGCTGCAACGAAGCCTTAGCTCTTGAGCTCCGGCTCGCGCGGACTCAGAAGTCATCAGACTATAGTCGGAATTTCTAATATCCCCTCCAATAACTCCTGTAATACACCCGAAATAACCCTCCCTGAAGGAGATTGGAATATATTATTGATGCTTGCTGTGCTGGGCGCGGAAGATGCAAGGCTGAAGAGTTTGGGCGCCTTTTGGCCTTCCAACAATGTAGTTTCTTGTTGAATAGCTTCCGGGCCCAATTGAATTCGATGATTGAACCCTAAACCCCTACAACCCACAGCCCTCGGTTTGAAAAACATTCAAAAGCATCCAGGAGGCGCATCTTGATGTCGGAGCGGAGCAGCGCTGGGTGACCAACAGCAATCAAGTTCAAGGTGTGCTCGTGGTGCCTTTCTTCAAACCATGACTTACGTACCCCCAAACCTCCGAAACTGCGGCTGTGTAAAGAAACACAGGTCAGCCATAGGGTCACTAGGCAAGCTATGCTGCTTCTCAACTTCCGCAAAAACCAGATAGGAGCCACGAACCCGAATGCAGACACGTGTCACGTACATGCAATGATAATAACACCCCGCGAGCGAAACCACTTCGGAGACGTAGGCCCGGGGTCATCCCTTTCTCCTCTTTCTCCTCATCTCTCTTTTCTCCTCTCTCTTTCTCTTCCTCTCTCTTTTCTCCTCTCTCCTGTCTTCTCTCCT